TTTTTTTTAACCTCAAGAGGATATTCCAATGTGGTCTCTCCTTGTTGGATTACTGTTCTGTTTCCTGATCACTAGTTTCCCATTTTCTGTTGACTTGGCATCATCCTGTAATACTCTCTCATGCCTGGATGTTCTGCTTGGTGCTTTCTGGTTTCCTTATTTCCCAATTACTTTGTTCACTCTTTTTTCCTCAGCTCCTTTCTTTTTTTTTTTTTTTTGCTTTTCTCAGCCCTCTCTCTTCTACATTATTCATTTCCAAGCTCTTAGTTCTTTAAGCTGCTGTCCAAAAAATCCTTTCTTTTATTTAAAATGACTCCCACTTCCCCTGGGTTCTTAGCATGTTGCTTGTCAATATCTTGATCACTAAAAGTACTTCTCCAAGACTGCCTACCATTTTCCCTTGTGCCGTCAACCCCCAGTCTCAATGGTGGGGTTTTTTGCCTCACTTATTTTTTTAGAGAGGCTTTAGTGTTGTTTCATTCCTAAACTGGTTCAATTCCTGTTTCTCTCATCTTTGTTCTGGTATCATAGTGCCTAAGGCGCTTTACTGCTAACCAGAAGGCTGGTGGTTCAAACCCACCAGCCACTCCTTGGAAGGAAGGTTGGGCGATATACTGCCATAGTGATACTGCCTTGGAAACCCAAGGAGGGGTCACTATGAGTCGGATCTGACTCGATGGCAGGGAGTTTGGTTTTCATATTTGCCATAATATCCTAGTCTGGTTTCCCTCATCAGCCAGGGACATCTTGAGTCTCTATCTTCTCTATCCTAGAGTTTGGTTGGGATTATCTTTGATGTGATACATACATACAGGTCCACCTGGTTGGTATTGACATCTTTACTGGCAAGAAATATGAAGATATCTGCCCCTCAACTCATAATATGGATGTCCCCAACATCAAAAGGAATGACTTCCAGGTATGTAGATGGTCTGGAAGAGCTGGGGTTAGTGGTTTACTGGGATGGGGTTGGGGGAATAGGACCAGAGGAGTTAGTGCTGGGAAAGAGGGAAATGACAGGAAGGAGAGGGTATTGGTATGACCTGTTTGCTGTCACATTTTATATATAAGATGCTTTTTACTTTCAGTGTACTTGGATCTGCCTTCAACTTTTCCTTCCCTATCTGTTCCTAGCTGATTGGCATCCAGGATGGGTATCTATCACTGCTCCAAGACAGTGGGGAGGTACGGGAGGACCTTCGTCTGCCTCCGGCGAGGGGGAGGGGAAGCGGCATGGTTCGGGCCCTGCCTCGTCCTTTGAGGAGGGGGTGGCCGCGGCACCGGAAGTGCCCCCCGTGGGATGCTGCCCTCGGGGTCGGAGGCCGCATGGCAGCGCCGGGACCCCTCCCCTCCCCCCAGGTCCCGGCCACCGGAAGCCTCGGGCGGGCACATGGTGGGCGGGAGCCGGCAACCCCCAGCGCAGTGAGGGCTGGGCCTCGCGGGTGCTTCAAGGAGCCTAGAATTTTGGGGAGTGGGAGCAGCCCGAGGCCCGTGTGCTGCCTATTCTGAAGAGCGTACTGCAGGCATATGTTAGCTCTCCCCCACTGCATGGGCCCTTAGAAGCTTTCCTCCCATTCTTCATCTGAGGTGAGGCGGACAGCCAAGTGTAAGTGGCAGTCCGAGCTCGGAGGCCCGGAGAAATGGGGAAACAGCATGATTGGACAGTGGCCCAATTCTTCTCGACAGCGCTTTCAAGTCTTGGGCAGAGGAGTTCCCCCCAGTGATATACGCTCTTCACCTTATTGCTGTCTTTTCCGTTGTGTGTCATCTGAGGGTTCCTTGGTTTTAAGAATCTTTAACTCTGGTAGTTTAGTATAATTTTTGCTCTTCTCTACAACCACCCTTTTGCTTTCGTTTTTTTATAATTCACTACCTCTCACACCCCGACTTTCTACTGACTGTACTGGCCAGGCCTGAAAAGCCGACAGGACCGATGCATCCTGGGAAAAGTGGGAGGGCCCTCGAGGCGAGAGACTGGGCGCCTGGGTTCCCTTCGGGAACCGACATCGTTGTATTTGGCAGGAGGATTGGTTAGGAAACAACTTTCTCCCTCTCCGCTGCATCTGCAAACGCATGTTGGGGAGGCGGGAATCCCCCAAAGAGGCCTTGTGGTTTCCTGTACCAGTGACTGGCTTGTGTGTGGATTGGGGGGGGGGGTGTAACAGAGGGTGGGGCCTTGTCCTCCAGTCTCTACCCTGCCCCCCCAATTAGCCCCGCCCTTTTGCTGGCTCATAGCTGCTCACCTAATTATAGCCCTGGGTATGTGAGTGAGAGAAGGGTGGGTTCAGTAACACCTGAGTCCTCCCCCTCCCGGGAATTAGGCTTTTGCCCATCCCTGAGATTTCGTATCCTAACTCTATAGAGCCACTGTAGCTTTCATTTTGGGGTAGATGCAGCTATCCCGCCCTCCAACAGTTGATAGGTATTTGTGATTCGAACATAATTTAACTCAGGAATTTAGATCTTATTTTAAGTAAGACGATAAAAGGGAGCCCTGCTGGAACAGTGGCTGAAGCCCTCAGCTGTTAACCAGAAGGTCAATGTTAACCTCATCAGCCAGTCTGGAAAGAAAGGTGAGGCAGTCTGCTTCAGTAAGGATTTACAGCCTTGGAAACCCTAGGAGGCAGTTCTGCTCTGTCCTTAACAGGGTCACTATGGGTTGGAATCTACTTGATGGCAGTAGGTTTAGTTTTGGGTTTAAGATAATAAAAAGGGAAAATGAAGCATTGTTTACAGAGCAGAGTGGGATAGATTGGAGGTCCTGTTTCTCTTCACTGACACAGTTCTTTTTTTAATTCTAGTTGGAATCGAAGCCTCTTAAAATGGCAGATGATTTGGACTTCGAAACAGGAGATGCAGGGGCTTCAGCCACCTTCCCAATGCAGTGCTCAGCATTACGTAAGAATGGATTTGTGGTGCTCAAAGGCCGGCCATGTAAGATTGTCGAGATGTCTACTTCCAAGACTGGCAAGCATGGTCATGCCAAGGTTAGAATTTCACTTCTCCACATTTGCTTCAGTGCTGGCGCTCTACCTGTTAAACTCACTGTCCAATTCCTTTGTTTCTGCATTGAGTCTTTATATTCGTTTAGATTGCTGTAATTGTTCTCCAAGACTTCAGCTTTTTTCATGCTTATGTCTCTGCCTGTATCATTCTCTGATTATCCTTTCCTTTCTCTGTTATTATACCAGTCTTCCAAATTCTCTTGGTCCTTTATGCCTCTACTTGGCTTGTCCTTTTTATTTCTGGTTTCATGGCTTTCCATTTTTTTGTCTGTCTCCTCCCTGGAGTATTTGTAGGTGCTATTTTCATCACTTTGCCCAGGGATTCTCCAGCCCTAACACAAAATGCAGCCTTCCCCTGGAGGGGCCCCAGTGTACCTCTGAGCTTCTAAGTCACCTTGCTGCCCCATTTCCTAGCTCTCTTACTGGGTAACAGGCTGCTTATACCAGCTCCCTCTCCTTGAGTTCCTTCCCTTCACTTTGTTTTCTAGCTTCTAAACATTCTTGTGTTTCTCTTGTCACCTCAGATTTTTTTTTTTTTTAACCTCAAGAGGATATTCCAATGTGGTCTCTCCTTGTTGGATTACTGTTCTGTTTCCTGATCACTAGTTTCCCATTTTCTG